TGTGTGTGTGTGTGTGTGTGTGTGTGTGTGTGTGTGTGTGTGTGTGTGTTACTAGTTCCACAGAGAGCTTTTATTTTGAAGTTCTCTAACGTTCCTTTAGCTGACGTTGAAGGCGATCTGTCCTCTGCAGTGTGTTTAAGGATGCGGACGGTTTGACGGAGAAGGTGAGGACTCAGCTGCTGCCGCCCCGGGACAGACCCACGGGACAGAGGAGGAGTCAGAGGGAGGAGGAGGAGGAGCAGAGACGAAGACGAGAGGACAGCGACCCTCTACGTATCCCCAACAGACAGCCTCGTCAGGGACCGCCCCCCCACTGGTCTGTCTGAGACAAGTACTCTCATGTGTTCTAAAAACAACAGTACTCCTTAGTATCATAAGATAGTATTGATGTAATAAAGTACTCATACTTCATTACATCAATACTATCTTATTTTAGAACACAGCTTTTAATCACAGAAACACATAAAGGACTTAAAACACGTCTGGATTCAGGCGTGTTCAGGATCACTGACTGATTCCAACGTTTCTACAACAAGAGTTAACGAGGAGACGCAGAGCTCCTCCTCTAGATCATCAAGTATTATCCAATCAGATCTGATCTCAAAACACCAGCCGATATAAGGTACATCAAGCACCTGACGAGGAGCAGAGATGGAGCAGAGATGAGAGATGGAGATATGGAGGAGGAGAGATGGAGAGATGAGAGATTGAGAGATGGAGGAGAGATGGAGAGAATCAAACCTGTGTCTTTACCTTCATCCTCTGTGATTAATCCACGTTGTTTAAATCTTCATCAGGTCTCATCATCACCTTCAAACTCAGTTTACAGAGAAACCACATAAAGCAGATGTTAACATTGTAGAAACTCTGACTCTTATAATAATAATAATAATAATAATAATAATAATATAGTAATAAATAGCTCTCTGTTCTCAGGCGTGACCCCGTGGTTCCTCCGTTCGCAGCAGGAGGAGCAGATCTGGATCCTTTCGGGTGAGTTTGTCTCTCGTGATAAATCATTTTACAGAAACAATGAAGTCATAAACTCAGTGTTTGACTGACAGCTAGCAGAGACAAAGATCCTCTGAGACACAGATTCGTAAGAAGAGAAGAAACGGCATCATTGGTCAAAGAAACAGGAAGCTGAGATCGAAACAGGAACAGCTTCCTGTTTCAGTGACAAGAGTTTCACAATAAAAGCCTCCTAGAACAAGCTTAACTTGATCAAAGCTCTTCTTCAGACGTCATAGTAGAGTTACTGTTGGAACATCAGCTGATCTCATCAGTTTAAACTTCTTTAATATTTACTGATCAATAATCAAACTCATCAGGATTCTGTCATGTGACACAAACATGTAAATAAAACACCTTGTATCTGTTATGTTATAGAAGAAGAACAGCTGACTCATAACTTTGTTGACATGAGACGGTTCAATAATCCCCCCAGAACCCGCGGTGGCGGTGGGATGATCGTGGACCCCTTGAGGTCCGGGCCTCCTCGCTCTGGGTTCGATCCCTCTAGTGGGATCCCAGACATCCTGCCTCCTGGAGCGGTTCCTCCGGGGGCTCGCTTTGACCCGTTTGGACCCCCGGGACCCAGATTCAGACCCAGGTAAGAGACACTCACACACGCTCTCACACACACAAACACGCTCTCACACACACACTCTTACACACACACAAACGCTCTCACACACACATACACAAACACGCTCACACACACACAAACACGCTCTCACACACACACAAACACACTCGCTCTCACACACACACACACACACGCTCTCACGCTCTCACACACACGCTCTCACGCTCTCACACACACACAAACACGCTCTCTCACACACACACACAAACACGCTCTCACACACACAAACACGCTCTCACACACACAAACGCTCTCACACACACATACACAAACACGCTCTCACGCACGCTCTCACGCTCTCACGCACGCTCTCACGCTCTCACACACACACACACGCTCTCACACACACACAAACACGCTCTCACACACACAC